ATTAGACATGCCTCTGCCCCAGCCCTTGCACAACCGCCTGGTGGCCCCATTGCAGCTGGGGTTTTTCTTTCAGCGCCCCATTTGCCCCCACCTATTTCTTGGACCCGACTGTATTTGTGGCACCCCTGGGGTCCCATGCTGGGGTCTCCCTTAGCTCATGGCTGCCTTCTTTGGAACTTCTCTTCTTCTATTCCCATACATCTCCCGACAACACCTAAAGAGAACAGAAGTCTTTTGGCTTGGCCTTTGGTCCCTAATTTCTGCTTGAGCCAAGTTTGCGTGGCTTGGCTCTCATGGGTTAAATGGTCACATAAGGAATTCCTGTTCCCATTATACCCCATATTGTATTTTTTGGTTAGTCTAAAGCTTAACAAATCGCTCTGTCAATTTCATTGCCATACTGCCTGTTCTTTGCATGCAAAATAGTTTCATGTTTTTGTTGTCATGGGGAATTCCTTGCCTGTGAACTCTGATGGTCTTTACGTTTTACCTAGCGTGAGAGGGCCAGTGTGTATAACTTAATTGGATGAGTCACATTAATACACAAATCTAGCCTGTATGTGAAGTACAAAAGCAGTAAGAGTGATGGGTGAATTTACAGCTTCAGGAAATGTCTACATGCTTTTGCTTTGAGTGAGCATCAGAGCTCACATAACAAACGTGTTATGTAAATGCATGTGGTTGCACAACTCACTCCTCAGCGTTTACTGATCTCACATCCATTTGTGTGTAGAGTGGCTGAACAGCCCTCCTCAAAAATGAGCCCATTGGTGCTCTAAAGGCAGAGATCTGTGGGTGATCCGGGCTGTGGTAAAGAGAACACTGCAGCCTGTTTACACTGACTTCTCAAGTTTCATCCCACAGACAAAATATGCTAGGTCAAACCAGAAAGTGTGTTCATTGTGGCGCCGTTTTCCTGCCAAAATGCATTTTCTTCTCGCTGATGCAAGCACTCTTGAGGTCAACGCTCTCGTGCTCTCATGCTTTCCGGGTCAACAGGATTTTATTCTGAGCGTTCACTTCTGCTGCTAAAGGAAAAAACGCAAGCAGAGATTTCAGATACCTATCCCAGCAGCTGGAGACTGCTCAGAGGTCCTACAGAAAAGAAACGGAACCTCAGGGCCCGGTTTGGTGCCAGGCTTCCCTGGAGTGGGAAACATAATCCACATCTGGTTTTCAGGAACCATGCTTACCTGCAAGGCTGAGCTCTTTGCAGTCACTCTGGGCTAGCATGATGGCACTTCCATATCCTGCAGGCATTACCTAAAATGATTTCTGACATCTGAAAAAATTCATTCTCTAAACTTACCTTTTACTGTCTTCTAGGTATAATACGTTAGGTTGGAAAAAAATGTTGCAGGCATAAAACAGATGAACCAGGGACTGAAGGAAGGGAAAATGAGAAACAAAGGACTAACTTTTTAGGCTAAGGAAAAAATGTGTATGTTCCTGGTTTTACATCAGTTGTCAGAAGTGGAAGAGGTTTTTTTCTGCAATATTATTCTACTTTGCAGTAATTTTTAATAGAATGTGTGACTAAGACTGTAAGTCCTGGTATTCTGCTCTGCAGCTGAACTGAAGTAAGAGTTCAATTTCTAAGTTTCTGATCATACCAAGATGGATTTTTCCATTAGAAGCTTATGGACACAGAATTAAGACAGGTTTTTTGTTCAAGACTATAGTGGAATTACACTTACGAACTTACCAATGAGCTTCTGGGGAGCCCAAGACACTTCAAATGTTTGAAAAAGTTAGAACGAGTTTTCTTTATGACAAGTTTGATTTTAGCAGAGGAAGAGGGACTCCTGCCCTAGCAGACAAGTCTGCTCCAGAATGAGAAAATGCATACTGGTACCTACAGCAGTGTAAGGTCTCAGCAGTGTTGGCTGAAGAGAATTTGGGCATATTGAGACACTTGCTACTCCCCCCATATAGATATCAGACCCCAAGCTTTTGATGCCTCTAACATTTTGCTCTTAGACCTATTGGTCGTAGCTGACTTTTAACCTTATTCACCATACAGTAATGAGAGAAAAATATTTACACATTTTCTATCAGAACGATGCCCTTGCATTCTGAAGTACCTGCAAATGACAGACTGCTCCTGGTTTTCAGCAAACAGAAGCAACAGGCCAGCAGCTATTTCATCCGAACAGGTTTGGCGGAACTTCCCTCCTCGACATGCTTTTTAAGAAATCTGAGATTAAAGGCAGCAAAGACCCAACACCCAAACCCGTACTGTAATTCGCTGTAGCAGCTCTTAACAGAACAGCACAAAGTATCTGGCAGAGTGCTGACACCAAAATATATCAGTAGGAATAAAAATGGGCTGATGTGCTGTCCCCACACACTGAACTGCTCAAAAAAAGTTGTAGTTTTAACACCTAAACTAAAAAGAAAGACTAACAAGCAAAACCTTGAATTTCCTGCTTGTGAGCTGTCCCACATCTCTTCACAATAAAAGTGAAAATGTCACGTGTATGATCAAAATAAACTGTCTGAAAACAGCAGGTGCCAAATACAGTTGTTTCATTTTTTTATTGTCTGATAACACTGTGATAATATAAACTGTATAAAGCATGATAAAACACTTCCATAAAATAGAGTAGGTACATATTATAAAATAAAAAATACAAATATTATGTTAACAAGGGGAAAAAAAAACATTTAAAAGAAAATATTACAATAAAATAACGGTACCAGTTTCTTCCTGTATTCCAAAATTTATTGAAAATGTTTAAATTATGCAGCACTAAGATAAGTTACTTTTACTTTCTCTCATGATTTTAAACATGCACTAACTCAAACAGAAATAAAACCTATTAATCAATACAGAAAATGTTATTAATCACGTAACATTGCATGTAGATTTAAGGAGGGATGAAGCAGTGGCTGTTAAAAGAAATGCATTATAATTACTTCCCTTCCCATGGGTTTACAGATTTTAGCAATTAAAAATAGCTCAATGATTCACAAGAAAAGGACAGCCACTGAATTAGCAATAAACTTTGATAAATGAGCAGTTATTGTAAAAATTGTTTGTCAGAAAACTATCAAACAAAATATCAGCTACGCTTCAAATAGTCTGTGCACAAAGCAATGGCATTCATTGCGACCATGATCTTTTGCATTTGCTAGGATCCTGACAGCCCTATCAGAAAGATAGAGGGTGAAATCAGAACCCTATTAACGTCAACAGAAATCTTGAGACCAAAATTCCACTTACAGCTCTTGAAGAGAAACACGCGTGCCTTCTGACCACAACACTGCAAATAATCCTACTCAAAACTGGGGTTTTTTTTCATTATGATGATATTCCTAGTGAAAGGAGTGCTTTTCTTCTCCATCTGCTGTGGAGTGCTGGACAAGCAACCCGCAGGGCAGCTGGGGATGTGTTTTTCCCCTCTCACCTCTGCAAACACCTTTGTATGTTCTTTTGCATTAACTCTCAGAGACAGCAATCTCACCTTGAACTAAACTATTCAGCCCCCACTGTCTTCTTCAAACTCCAGAAGAAAGCAGCTAAGGAACAACTGCCGGGACTGCCAGGTGCATTTGTTGAGAGTTAATCCCACAAACTAAAAAAATGAAACAAGTGCCCCAAAAACATGTGACTCCTAGATCTTGCACACAGTGCAAGGCCATCAGTGACCTCATCAGTTCCTTTTGCTCTTTCCCATGCCACACACTTGCTGATTACATTATTTCAAAGGAGGCTGGAAGTTTTCGGAGGTGTGACTGCATTTTTCTATGCATTTGCAGAGTTACCTCAACACTTGTTGAGATGATACTAAAACAGTCTATGGCTATGCACGGTCTTTCATTATTCAACCTACTAAAAATATATTTTTTAAAAATAGCCCTTAACACATGAACTACTTCACATTCTTACCTAGGAACGTTTTACCTATCCCCAGTAAACATTGCCACTGTCCCTTTGCAGAAATGTGATGCTTTTAATCATGATCAAATGCAAAATTATTATTGATTTATCTATAAACATTTTGGTCAGAAATACATGAACTAACAATAATTTAACACACAGGAGCTACTAGCTCAAGAATTCAAGCAATGTAATTTTGCGGAACAAAAGTGGATACGCACATTATTAAACAGTAGTAAAGTGGACTTCAATTTTTGTGAAAATATTTGTGATTAAAGATTCAAGAGCAGATCCTTCTTAGCACCAGTTACAAAAGCTCTACTAGCATTAATAACCAGCTGAGGATCCTACTTATAATATCAAAGATGTATAAACCCCATTTCTTTGATACCCGTTTGTTATCAAAAGTTTGTTGGTTTTTTTTAAGAGACACCACTCATGCAAGAAAAGTAAAATTTGAAACACAGCTTGATGACGGAGTTTTGGTAAGGCCAATATAGCCAATGGTTATTAGTGAGCAAAACCCCTTCTTGTATAAGAAATCAACCTTAACAGAGCTAGTAAGCAGCCAAGCGACTTAATATACCAGGGAGCTGCTGTTGCCTAGCAGTAGTTAGCAACTACTGACTTTTCAAACCAAAGTCAGAGGAAATCTTCTCATTGACACAAAGCAGAGTGGAATCTGAGCCCAAGCCCAGGTATATACATAATTTCTCTGTTACTGAAGTTTTATTCTACTGTGTTTCTAATTCCATCTTACATTTCAAGATATGCCCAGTTTACATCAATTAAAAATCAGACAATTGCCCTACTATGAGAAACTAGTGTTTACAATTTTGTAAGGAAAAAAAAAGACACTGAACCCAATGACCATAGTCAAAATAAACTAATTCCATAGTTTTTAAAATAAGGATATCAGCATACTGAAATGTTTTCAATTTTTTTAGTTTAAAAAAAAGTACAAAATTATATTGAAGCTTGAAAATTCACAAGAAAATGTTTTCAGGAGTTTTGCACAGCCCTGTTCAGGAGCAGTGATGCTCTGATAATGTCTTTTTGACTCCAGTTATAAAGACAGAAACAGCTTCTTGAAGGAGTGGAACCTACAACACATCCCCTACGTATGGTTGTTGTTAAGATTGTTCTTATTAAAGAATCTCCTTGCTTCAACACTGCTAAGAGACACGGAGCAGCGAGATGGGTTCTCTTTTCTGTATTCAATGCTTTCCATCATAGCTTCCTTGATCACCTGGAAAACAGTGAACAACATGTCATTCAGGGAAATAACTAACATTTTAACAATTTAATAACTGATAGAAAAGACCCATTCAGTTGTTAACAACTGTTGCTCCTGCTTTTATGACTGCTCCATCATTGAGCAAAGTGATTGCTGAGTATTATTATGAATATTATTTTCTTGATTGTATAAAACAATGATTTTAATGTAGTTAATAAAGGTATGACAGGATACCACCAACATCAAAGAATTCACACAAGAATATTGACATTGAAACCGAGTCCCAGTGAAATTCTGAAGGGTAAATCAAAACACTGAGAAAATCCATACTTAAAGGATATAGAAAATAGTTGAGAAAGAGTGAATCTTCACTTTTGCTTCCTTTGTCCTGAAGTAACAAGATTTGTTCACTACTTTGGAAAAAAAAAATCATTTCTTTATCTGGGATGATCATGTACACTTGTGAATATGGCAAGTCACCCTATGGATGCTGGGATCATGGTCTTGTGTTACAGCTAGTATCAATTAAAAAGAATTATTACTGAGTTAGCTGATAAATTAATTTCCAGAGATTTTTACAAAAAATCTCCATTTTCCTTTTTTCCAGTTAGAAAATCAGCATACATAAAGAACTGAGTATAAGATCCTGAACATAATGTCTACATCCTGTGCAGACACCTTTGCTCATTTATCCTGCAGGACTTTTGATGGTAAAGTGACAAAAACAACACAGGAACCAAATTAAAAAGAATATGAATTGGAATGGATCCTAACAAGCACAGGCTCAAACATTATGAAAAGCACACATTCTACACTCCAATAGTTCTTCATTACATCAATCTTCTTAGCCCCAAAAATACTGTTTAGACTTTTTTTTCCCCCCACTGGAAAGCACCTCTGGCCTTTTCAGCAGCATATTTGCTTATTGGTTTATTATTGACAGAAGCTCATATATGGTAATACTTCCTACAACACTGATATATCAGTACTTCAGAAACAGAGGTCCAATGAAAAGACCAAATTCTCTTCACCTAATTCTCACTGTGTGTTTCATCCAATTCTCTTCAGGTAGCTCCAGCCACTGTATTACCTATAGTGACTAGACTCTTCTTTCCTTCCCAGGCTGGAAGGATGCAAGTTGACCATGCCACAGTTTGCACGTGCTTCTACACAAGCTCACGAAGAACCTACCTAGGGTACACTCCAGCCCTCATTAAAATAAAGCAGATTTTTTCCACTGACTATAATGGGCTTTGATCCAGCCTCAATTCTGAGAATAGCAAGGGGCACAACTAAATGCAGGAAGCACTTTACATGTCATAACAATCAGGCAAATACTGAAGTAAACCCCTGTACCTTCTGTATGACAGATCTAGGGCTTTACTCGCATCACCTACTTTCCCATTTAACAATCTAGACCCTTTAAGCCCCTTCCACACTGGCATACATACATCTATGTTATTGAGGGTGTTGAACTCCATTAGATCATGAAGCCTCTTGAAAGCCTCATTGGAATACTGGAAGTTGAACGTAGAGAACGGTGTATTCGGATCATCAAAAATGTCAAAGTCTGCAAAATCCTTCTCTTCCTGTGTTTCTCTTGGAACACCTGCATACAGAACAAATACAAAAATACAATCTAAATGTTAGGTCTGAGGACTTACCATCTTATTTTTTAATGGCTCTTTTGAAATCCCTAGCTACTACAGATAGACTTAAGAGTTATTTCAGTATATATTCAGTCATTTCTAGTATAGAATCACCATGTCATTATAAAGCTTCAAAGGAACAGCTAGATTTAGCAGCAGAAACTGTGTGCTCACCTGGAGCTTTGTACTTCCGGAAGTTGATGTTGGCCAAAACAAAATGGATTATAGTTGGACAGTCTTTCTCCGAAGAGGTATCCTTTGGTTTGAAAACATAGCACTCCTTCATTCCCTCTCGATCAAATACATTTGGGTCTATTTTCGGGAAAGGAAGCTTGTTCATTCTGGCCCATTTTTCAGCAAGCAAAATTTCCTGAAAAGATAACAAAGACTCAGGTGTATATACGCATCCACTGCAAAGTGAGATTTTGCGTAGAGAGAGACAGGTCAAATTGGTTACTAGAAGCAGTTTTATTAGCTCATGATTCTTTACAGCAGAAGGACTGATCAAGTCAGTCTTTCTATAGACGACCCAGTATGGCAAACTGAGCACCTAATTCAGCCTGCCCCATCTTCACCACCTGTGATGATTCACAGGAAGGAAAGAGCTGGTCTGTCACATAAGTCTTTGGGTGAATTTACAGAGCTGACAGCTAGAAAAAACCATCCGTAATTTTACTTGCAAACTGAGTATCAGTGCTATGGAAACCAATGAAAGTTAATAAACATCAATCCACACATTGTTATGTTCAGAATCACATCATAGCACAGACCAGCATTTGAAAGCATGCTAAGTGAAGAAGTAAGTCTGGAAAACAGGCTTTTTTTTCCTCGTGACAACTCAGTAAACAAAATAATTTGTAAATAATGACTCAAAAGCGTGTAATGAGGGTGTGTGAGGGAGGAGAGGGAAGGTCAACATCCTTAATCTTGGTTTTGAATGAAATAGGACCCTTCTTTGGACAACTGTTTTGGATACGCAAGAGATGAAAAGATAGTGGGTGTAAAATGATAAAACAAGAGCAGAGTCATTGACTTCAGCTGGCTGATTTCCCTATGTGTTGGAGTAATAAAAGTATATTAGAGCGCTACCATAGATACAGGCCAACTCCTGAACTGGCATTTACTCTTTGTAATGCAAGCAGAACCAATGGGATTGGACAGCCAGTAAGCAAAACTGTTTTCTGCCCTTTAGGCCATTAGCATACAGCCTATGCTTGTGGACTATATGTGTGTATTAGCTGGAGGTACATCACTTTTTTTATTGTACACATATTTGGACTTTGGAAATAATGAACCATTCCCTTCAATGGTGGCTTCATGAAAACCTAAGGCACCATTTAATTTTCTTACCATTTTTTCTTGCATAAAAGGATTTTGCCTTTTTGAAGTTAGAGTTTACAGAAAAACCTTCAGGACACCACTTGACTTCCAATCAATCTCTCTGTGTTATGTTCCCCAAAACAGCATAGAAAATTGCAGCTGATGAAGACAGAAAGCTCAATGCATGGGCTAAGAGTAACAGAGACAACTATACAGAGCCTTTTGCACAGACTCCACGTGCAGAACACAACATAGCCGGAGGAAAAAGAAGATGTTTCACAGGAGATGGCAGTGCTGTGTCAGCAAATTTAGCTGACGGGGGAAAATACTCAGTCATGACAAAAAAGGAGACAAATTCTTAAACAAAGAGAAAATTAAAGGAAGAAACAGATCGTGGAATTCAGTCAATTAAGGAAAAATGAAGGATCTCAGCACTAGTACGAGTCTTCTTAGCGCCCTGCTCTTCCAGGTAGTCCCCAAGAGACCTAGAGATTACAGAAGTTACTCCTTTTTATTCTCCTGAAGCTTGTGGGTTTTTTTTTTTTACATTTGACAACACTGATCTAGAGTTCATTTTGCTACTGCTGTTATTTTCTAATGTTGTTTTGGGGTTTTGTCCCTTGATAGCAAGAGGAAGGAAAAAAATACTCTGTTTGTTCTAACTGAAATTTCTCTGTAAAGCAACAATGAATGCCAGTTGTTTCTCAAACAGGCAAGTTTTCTTGGTTTCCTTAAAAATTATTTTTTAGAATCCACATGGGTTTCAAATAAATATTGCCTCTTTTTTGAGTACCTCACAATAGTCTCGTGAGTGCTGCTTTTTGTGTGTTAGCTACCAAAATGGTCCAACATTAAACTTTTCTGATCATTTGGAGCTGTCTGGATGCTTAGGTTATACAGGTCATACAGAATGACAGCTGTCCTTTCCACACCTGCTGGATTTTTCTGTGGTTGCTTTGCTCTTGCCTGAATGGATTTAGGAATCCTACTTAAACCAGTACTGGGATTATCCTAGTGAGATGTAAATGAACAGTTAGCCCCACTTCCAAAATGTTATATATTTAGCAATACCAGAGTGACTGAGACACATTTCTGCAAGATGATGACAGAAAACCATTCATTTACATCACAGCATCACAGAGGAGAACAGCTGTACAGAGCTAGAGCACTAGCACAATGGTAAATGACTTACTTAATTGTTTAATACTGACATAAAATAAAATTCTGCAATTCAGTGTGATGGCAAGACTTCCATAAAAACAACAGAGCTACTAGTTCAAATGAATTATATTAGCCTTCTTTGTGTCAGTTGTCTCATGTGAGTCATGTAAACAGGAGCTGAAGCAGAATGCAATATTCTGCCTTGACATGGAAACAAATTGCTCCAATGCTGTTGATAAAATAGCACTAAGGCCTTCTGGAACCATGAAATGTGCAACCACCCCGACTGGAAGAATACAACTGAGTCAACTTAAATTTATGAACACAAAGCAAGGAATGGCCTATTTTACTTACTTTGAAAGGAGGACTGGAATCACTTGGCCTCGCTGAAAAATCAAAAGAGATGATGAGATCAACACCTCTTTGAGGTCTTAAGATAAGTGGGTATGGCAGGTTAAAAGTAAGCCCGCTGTCCACTATATGAATCTTTTTGCTCTTTACATCTAGTGGCTCGTATATCCTCTCAAACTCATCAGGATCTGCTCAGAACAAATGAAAACAAAACAAAACAGGAACACACCAGTTAAGAACTGAAATTGTGATGGGCTTTCAAGTCTTCCCCCAAGTACAGAAGATTCCACAGAATTCAAAATGTACAGTATCCCAGCTAAGCACACTGTGAACCCATGTGTAACATTGACTCTCATCTTAACAACTGGAGAATGAGGGGAAATAAACAGAGCTGGAAGGGACCTCAGCAGGTCAAGTACACAAACGCCCTGTCCCAAGGCAGAAGCAGGGGTGGCTCAAGGCAAAACCAAAGGGGACAAATGCCCAGGTTTGACCCTAGCCTTCCCAGCTTTACCCCTTCATCCCTAATAACCCATACACAAAGGAAAGTGTTTATGGGATGTTAAGAGACAGATTCCTAACATACATCCCCTCAGTGTTCTACAACCCCTGCCCAAACCTCTTCCCCCAGGTTCCCTCCCAAACCCCCTGTCCTTCCCAGCTCCTCTTCCCCAAATAACTGAAATTTGCCTAACAGCCTTGATGTGGCTCTGCTCTTGAGTGATGCTTTTCTATGTCTGTTTCTGTCCATTAAAATTAGGACTACCAAGTCAAATGACTTGTTTTTCAACCTACACGAAATCTTATGACTGCATACTCACTACTATACTAGGAACAAGAAGAAATGGTAACCCATATCCGTATCTGAAATTTAAGCATTGGGCAGAATTACATGTAAGCCACTTACTGCTATTACTGTCATGGTATAGTACAAAATAGTCTCCTATCTCTAATGCCCAAACTGAGGCCTGAAGAAGATGATGTTTCCTCTTCAACCCAAATATTCCCTGGGTACAACTCAGGAAAGAACAAGAAATTTTTCGTAAGTGCCTTTGCACTTATCCAAGCCAGTGGATACTACTCCCCGCAGTACTTAAAACTTTTCTCCTGACAGTCTTTTCTTAAAAAATATCTTAAAAATATTTCCAGTGCATGTTTTTGCCTTTTGACTAAAAACTAACACTCATATCTGTAGAGGGCAGTGTAATCTAAGGAATGCTGAATAGAATAATATAATTATTTCTTGTATAATTAAATTTCCTAGCACCCACTTATTGGCGATGGAAGTAATCTGAAAAAAGATATTTTAATGCAAAGAAAACTCATCAAAAATAATTCAAACTCTAGTTCCTATCATTTCAGTATCCATGAGAAAAATTTATTATGAGCAGAAAAAAAATCTCAAAACAGATATTTTGACTTTTTATTTCTGTTATTATTATTATTTATTAGAGGGCACTTTGCTAAGAAATGAGGCACCAGTTTCCTAACATTTGCCTTGATTTCTAAGGGAGAAAACACTTTCAAATCATTGCCTATTGCTAAAGGGCTAAGCGTGTTTATAGAACTATTTTAGAACCATATTTCATATAACCATGAATTAGCATAAATCAACGAAAATCTATTACTGTTTATCAAACTCATCATAATTAAAAAAACACCGGTGAAAAAAAATACACTTACTACAGATCCTTTTAGCACAAGTAAACTAGTTTTGTTTTTCCCATCCTTTTTTAAAGACAATATTTCAAACATAATTTATCCCTTGTTCTCAATAGAATTTTAAAAAATTACAGAAACATTTTTGTTCAAGTTTTGTATTATCTTATTTTACAAAATTTGAATTTGAAAGTCAACAGTGATCCTTTAGACAAGAATAGTACCACCTATAATAATGTTTGTGATAGGAGTGTTACTGCATATACAAACTTCCTACTAAGAAGGCATTGAAGAACAAGACGGTTCCTATTGCTTACAGCCTTCATGACTCTATCATCAAATTTATCATAATAATTTTATGATATTTTGAATGATAAAACATCATAATGCCATCAATAAATTTATAACAACCACACAGATTGTTTTTATTAGTCATGGTCTTCCGTGATTACAGGAGAAATTCAACTTAAAAGTTTTTATTATAATTAATTTTAGAAGTACATTTCCAATCTTTGAACTGAGAAGAAACGTTCCAAAATGCAACTTGTGTCCATGTTATGGGGTCAGAATTCAAAAAGCAATGAAGATAATCCAGTGTTATTTTAACGACACGACTTTAAAGGCAGACTCCACATGTGATTTGATTTGATTTGTTTGATTTGATTTAGACGGGATCTGGAGCCAGAGGCCAGAAGCAGCACACAATACCCAAGGCAAGCAGGCAGACTGAACTATGGGTCAGGACACTGTAGGTGAGCCTGCAATTGCTCCTGGGAGAGATGTAATGTACAATAAGTATCCCTGATGCTAAAAGAAGCATCACCTACTCTATATCCTGTGCTGTAGTTATTCTGAAGGGCTGGATAAGAAACCTTTGTTCTTTTTATACAACACATGAATCGAGGACAATTATTCTATATACACAGCCCTGGTAAGGCAATCCATCATTATTCATCAAACAGTATGAAGACTGAATGGAGTATTTATGCTCTGAGAGCCTGGGACATTAATTTTGAGCCCATGTGGACTGCTTTTATGAAAGATGCATCCATATTATGAGAAGCTTTCAGTCCATCAAACAGCATACTGGGAGAAGCAAGAGATGTTTACGAGTACAGCTCTGTGTTAAACCAGCACAGCATGCCTATCTGATTTGCAGTAATCGGATACTCAAACGGATATTAACAATTGTTTGGAAATAAAAAAGAGAGCATGTTCTAGAGACCAAACCTTGTCACAGATGGCAGGTTCAATGGAAGTATGGGAGATGAAAAGGGCATTTGCTGCTGACGTGTGTCTACTATAACAGTTTCCATAACTAATGAAATAAGGAAGCAGAGATTATGAGTTATTTTTTCCCTATTGTTATTCACTTGGCATTTTCTCAAGTGATTTTGGTGTGTTGTAATATCAAGGCACAGAAACAGAACAACTCTGAGTTCACAATGAAATCATTCAAGGGGTGTAAAGATTTAAAGCATATTTAAGACCAATTAAGAAAATGCTCAGCATAAATAGAATCCGTGGCAAAGCGAAGCCAAGCATTTTACTTTCAGATCAAGCAGGTGGGATCTCTGCTGTATGCAGTGCAGACATTTAATCCTCAGTAATGTCTGTAACATCAGCTTAGGTCTGCCACAGTTCATCCTCTGCAGTACAACTCAGTGGGTCTGCAGAAAGCCTGAGACAACTGGAGGTGTAAAGTATTATTTATATCCTTTTTGATTCATTTATTTCTCCTTTGGATTGTCTGGTAATAAAGAGAAAGTAAGTCCTAAAGCAATTCAGACTTCTCTCTGTACTCAAGCTGCTAGTGGTAGCAATAAATATGCAAACCTTAAATGCATCCAGTGCCTTGGCAATATACAATATCTGAAATTTACATCAAAGTTTCCTTTCTATCTACTCCTCTGGGCTCCTAGGCTCTTACATGTATTAGCAAAATTCAGAGCATTAAAATCTGGATACACTTAATCACACTAATGAATTATTAAATTGTATATTAAGTACTGAAATTTCAAGGGGTTTTTAACTATTCTTGACTATAATATTGCAACTACTCATAGCTGTTAGATTTGCATTGTTAGTTCAGGTCTATGAGTGTGGGCTTCGGCTAACACTAAAAAAAATGTCAGTTATGTCAAACTTTTGCCAGACATTTTACCCAAAGAAATTTCACGCATTCAAAAGTAATTGTCTCAGAGGTGCAGGCTTGTTCCATCAAACCAGCATTTTATTCCAATTGAAATTAAAACCCGGGAAGTTGAGTTGATTCTGAAGATTATCCTCATGTCTTAATTATGCAAAATTCTCATCAACTGTCATTTTTTCCAAGCATAAATTTACTACCCGCTTTCCTGCCTCTTTTACAACTACTATAAATATTAAGATTACCCAGTTGTAAACATGATGAGACGATAAAAATATTTAGAAAGTGGAGCACAGATGGAAATTACTATACAACCACTCAAAGGGATTTGTTACATTAACAAATACACATTAGAGCGCGTCTGCTATTTAAGCTTTTAAACGACATCTGGTATTTACTATTACGTAATGACCAGCTAGGACAATCTCTTTCCTCTGAATAGAAAATAAGGCCTGAAGTGACTACTGTTATTACAAGGGATCGTTGGCAATGCTGTGCCGCTACACAAGAACAGGGGAGGAACACCACTTTCAGAGACTTTTAGTTCCTCAGCTTGATAGATGTCAGTAATAATCCACAATAATCCAGAAGCATTAAAGTTTGTGTCATAGAAACAGTATGTGGAGGCTCCACCAAGTATGCATCTTCACTCTGATGTAACTTTTCTATAGGGAAACTCACATCCTTAACTCAGTGCTCTGTTGCCTACTGAGGAAGAAAAAAAAAGCACCAGTGCCAGAAGAATACTAAGAAATTCATTGACTTTCATTGAGAAGACTGTAATGAACACTGTCTATAGCAAATCTTCAAAATACCAATCGAACATGATTCCTAATTCTCTGCAGCTACTGTCCCAGACACCATATACTTCATGGAGTGGGGGAAGACATTGAAGGTATTTTGCAAATTAACATTTTTCTGAAATTCTTATTTTCCAT